GTGTCAGACCGCTGTGGAGTTTTCTTCCCTCTCACCATAGACAAGGGCACTGGGTCCCGTCTGCTGTCTGCAAACATGTGACCATGAAATACAACAGGTGGCCGACTGCCCTGCACATTTAAGGTTTGGAAAAGCAAAGATGCTTGTGTGTTCTCAGGAACTCTGAAGGAGAGATGCCTTGAGAGGATTACCGGGAAGGATAAAGGGACCCAGGGTCTTATGGGAGGAAGAAGGGGGAAGCAGTGTCAGAGGTGACAGATGGGAGGGAAAGGGAGACTTCGAGACCCACAGAAGCACCGTGTGACAGAAACAGCCAGCACCTGCCTTTCTCCACAGCAGGCCCTGGTACTGTGTTACTGCTGCAGTGATCAAGTCAGGCTTCCCTGCCTATCATCTCCTCTCCCTTCCCTTCCACTCTGCCCTGGAGAGGCCCAGCACATTAGCTTGTGAGTCAAGGAGAGGATGAAATAAGAGAAAAGACAAAACTGGCCATCCCTCCATCTAGCTACAGGGCTTAGACACGAGGCAAGTCCAACCTGGAAAGGGCAGGTGAGTCTTAATGGAGTTTGCATCACCCAAGGTGTAGGTGGTGAGGAGGAACGAGTCTGCGTAGCAAAGCACAGGAACTGTCATGACGTGAGCATTCAGCCTGCACGACGCTGGCCTCGCTCATTCCTTCCACGTACTACAGCTGAGGATGGAACAAAGTCCAGGAACATTTGGAGGAAAATGCTGCTTACATCCCACGTGTCATACTTTGTGTCACCCTCACATGATGGGGCAGGAAACTGTGATAAAAAGGTGAGATTTTTGCCTCTAACTGAGACCCTCAATTTTAGAATTAAACACAGCAGAGGAATTGGGGAGGAGCATCTCTAAAAGCGCAAACATTAGGCGGCTTTTAAGAAAAGGCTCCATTGTGTTCCAGGGATGTGGCCTTCCTGGAACGTCACCCTCTCGGCCACCATCCATTATAAAACGCTCCCTGTTGATCCCATTGTGGGAACCCTTCCCGCAAGAGTGATGCAAAACTGGCCACTGGGCCAAAGGGTCACGGTGGTCAGCATGGAAACCGGCCATGTGGCCCACAGAGTGAGGTTGACCAGCAGGATGAGAAGATGGAACAAAAACCCACCAGGGTGACCCTAATCCTGTCTCAGGAAAAGTCTCTGTAAAAACGGGGAAGCCCAGGGGTTCTGCTGAAGGGAGATGAGGAGCCAGAAAGTGCAGCTCAAGAGGAGGCAGAGGTCCCACACACGGCCCTCAGGTTCCACACATGAAGATGACGGGCAGACACGGAGCCCAGAGATGGATGCAAAGACCCGAGTCCAAGGGCCTAACTGAGAGTCGCAGGTCAGATGCCTGGACAGGGAGGAGCCTCCTCATCTGGATCTTTCACCATGGAGGAATACACAGGGACAAGCCAAGTTCATCTCTTTCTGTTTGTGTGAATTTGTGGATACTCTACCCCGAATGTCCATGGTCTCTGTCCTCTGGAGCACGGTCAGTTACAACAGGTCTTCTCAACCTTGGCACTAAGGGTGTCTGGTCAGATCCCTCTTTCTGGTGGGGCTGACCTGTGCACTGTGTGATGTTTAGGGCCATCCCTGGCCTCTGCCCACAAGATGCCAGTTGTGTCCCCCCAACCCCAGATGTGAGCGCCAAAAATAACCCCAACATTGTCAAATCACCCCTTGTTGAGGACCAGCAGATTAGGAGTCTCAGTCATTTATTTACAATGCTCATGTATTTTGTTGACACTGGTTGTACGTAAGGTTTGGACTTAGCTGTTTCCCACAGTCTGTTCTCTCAACAGCCACTCTTACCCATCTCTAATTTGAAGAAAGCCTGTGATAAAGGTCGCACGTCCTCAACAGGCAACTTGTAGACCACCAGGGTGGAGCATCTGGGGAGAAAATGGGGTGAGGCTGCACTCTGGGTTTCCAGGTCGTGACCCAGCAGGGTGCACATCTAAAAAGGGGCAACACCTGGTCATCAGTTTGTTTAAATGTGCAGGTTTGTGGTGGGGACACCCGAGAGCAGAGGCTCTTTGACAACAAGAAGTCAGTCTGCTCAGAGGGGGCCTGGAGGATAAAGTGGAGAAAATCACAGAGGCTGCTCCTGAAGAAGGGAAGGGGCAAGATGCTCACCCTTCTTCTTAGCGAGAAGAGAAGAGAACAGCGTTTATGTAGAAAGAACCGGGGTCAACCCCTCTTCCTCCCACTCGGAACCTCACACGCCCCACTGACGATAAGAACAGTGCTGAGATCCCCTCCACTGAGTGTTGACGGATGCCTGGGACTCCGGCACAGACTCTAGACAGGTGATCTCCTTTAGTGGAGGACGATTTCCTTCTAGAAAGGACCTCTGAGCCAACCTGAGTGCGTGCCCACTCCTGTGCCTGGCACCCTGCGGAACCCCATGAACACCTATTCCCTTGTGGGAGTCAGGGCAGGTCAGCTGTCTGTTCTCTTACTTCCCCCCTGTGGTGCCCTCGGAACTGAATTTTCTCTGACAATTAAAGTGCTCACAATTACCAAAGAATTAGCCCCCCGCCCCCCAGGGAAAACGAGAAAGAGAAGATAAAGCTTGTATTTCTATCACCATAAGAGAAACACAAACCCAGTTTGAACAAAATGACACACATGTTCACCTGTCCTGCCGAGCAGCCTGGGGGAAAAGCCTGAGAATCTCTGCGTGGAGGGGCTCCACCTGTGCAGGGGTCTTCACCTTCATCACCAGCAGGTAATCTTTGCCGAATTTGCTCTTCAGGTGTTGGATGGAACCGATGCACCTGGAGGTAGGAGGAGGCTGAGTCCAGGTAAGAAAGGGCGAAGTCTGTGGCTGGTGATGCCCATTCTTTGAAACAAGGGAAGGGCGCGCAGAGCAGCGGCCAGCCCAGCTCCTCCCAGGGGGTGGCCTTGTGCAGGGACCCGTCCTTCCTTCAGAGCACACAGCCTGGGGCCCAGTGTGGGCTGGGGTGGGCACTCACCTCAGCCTCCCCGACACCATGATGGCCACTCGGTCACACACGGCCTCGGCCTCGGCCATGTAGTGAGTGGTCAGGAGGACGCCCCTGTCCGTGTTCCTGCACAGGGCCCGGATCACCTGCCTGAAGGTAGGTTGAGGGAAGCGTTAACTAGTGGGAAGGTTTAAGGTCTTGTGGAACTTTTTAAAAGAAGTTTCCATTCACACACATATGAAACGAGAAGTGAGATTAGACAAAGAATGGAGTTTTTGGGCAGGCCTAGAAACAACCAGACTGTTAGAGTGTGTACTTGAGAAAATGGTTGGGGCTGAACAGGGAGAAGGATGTTGGGTATAACACTGTTTAGAAAAACTCTCAGCTCAGGGATATTTAGGAGAAGGCAGTGAGAAGAAAGACGGAAAATGAGAACTTACTAAAATGCACGATAATAAAAACTACACCCTGCAGGTACCAAATGACAGAATTTAGAAGGACTTGGAATGTTTCTTTATTTCCACCATAAGAATTGTGTATCAGATAATGCTATAGAAAATTTTAAATTGTAATAAGAGATTAATTTGAT